ACGTTCAAACAGAATTCAATTTTCTTGTCGTACAAATGGAAAAATATCTAGTACCATATCTACGTATAACTAGATGTCCATGTGGGTGTCAAATCCAGTATGAAACAACGAGCGTCCTGTCATTCCAAAAATTGTTACGGAACACCTGATATATCGTCATTGTTTCAAATGTTATCAGTAGATACATGTGTAACCCAGAGAGCAAAGTAAAACATCAAAAAATGGCTGCCGCTTTAGACGCGCTGTTCTTTACATATCGTCGGCACAAATGACGTCATTATCCGCGGTGTAGTTAATTTTGAGAGGCCAACATCTCCTGTGTACTATCACTTTGCACGCATCGATGCTTGTGTTTGATAAACGTGTGGTGACAACCTGCATGACGTACAAACAGAGCTGCGTAGGATGCTAGCGCGCCTAGTTATTTTGATGCGAACACGCGGAACATCGAGCACAAGTCTTTAAAACGTGCGTATTCCGAGAAGTTGTCTTTCCCCGCGGAGCTCCCCTCCCCTTCCTAAGAGGGGGGGGGGGGCACCGCTCCCTAAGGGGTAAGAGGTGGGCGTTGCCACATAGCCTTGGCAGCTGACAGCGCCGTCAAGCCCAATGACGATGACGACGACGAAAAGTTATCTTGCATGCTCTACACGACTGAGATTATGACGGTTACTGCATGTGCTTCGAGGAGCGCTGTGCATCACGCATGTTTATGGTACGGGTCGTGCAAAAAACCGCCCAATAACAGCTCGGGTCATTTAAAAGGCACACGAATTGTTACAAGGACTGTATCTGTTGCAGTTTCAACACTTGCAGCACGATTCCGGGGTCTTGCATGGGGCGTGCGCCGGCGCCGCTCGTGTGATTGAGATGAGACTAAGCTGTCGCCGGCGCGACCTCTCGGAGGCGCTTTATCGGTGCCAACGAGACACTGCTATAACAACAGGGACCACTGGAGGGGCTCGCCGGCCACGTTAGCGGGCTGCACGTGACTCACCCATCCTGCCACGCTGCTGAGGGGTGGTGGGGGGGGGGGGGGAGCTCCCGCTCTCCTCTCCGCCGGTGGCCCGCCAGCGACGCGTCGTGGCGACCAGGGGCGCCGCGGCCGCAGCGCGTCGCTGTTTATGAGCCGCCGGCATAACTAATGGCCGATGAGACGCTAGACACGGCATAGCTCGACATAGCCTCGGGCGAGCGACAAATAAACACGGCCAGACGAGCCGCCGTCAGTGGCGCCGATCTACGGATTGATAGAGTTGATTGGCGACCTCCGTCCAGTTCGACTCGGCTTTCTGTGGTTGATGTGTTTTATCGACAGATGTCAATGGGCCATTTACTGAATGTTGGCAGCGGTTCGGACACATGGACATTTTCCAGCTTGCGACCATTGCTAACCGAGCGGCGGTGTTTTGCCCCGACTTCGATCGTCCTGTAAAAAGCAGCCCAAAAGAACGGAGCAGCAACCTGGAGCTCTCAGAACCTTTAAATAAAACCTCTCGTGACTACTTCTTTTCAAACTGGGGGCTTAGTTCAGCCGAAGTTATGTCATATGACGCCATAAATGTGACCGGTGGTGGTGCTGTTGCCACGCGCTGTTTTACATAGCTGTCGTGCTTTACATAAAAATCATATGTGGCGCGGGGAGCAGTGTAAACACAGTCAGGGAAACAAAAGTCCGGTTGTTGCCACTTTAGGCTCAGCTCGACCACCTGTAAATGCTCGCCACCTGTGTAAAAACAGTCAGGTGAAACAAAAGTCCGATTGTTACCACATTGGCTCAGCTCGACCACCTGTGTAAACACAGTCCAGGGAAACAAAAGTCCGATTGTTACCACTTTGGCTCAGCTCGACCACCTGTGTAAACGCAGTCAGGGAAACAAAAGTCCGATTGTTACCAACTTTAGCTCAGCTCTACCATCTAGTCACTGCTGGGGATGTGCATGCACGGATGTATGTTGCTATGCTAGTTTCAAGATGTATCAGTTTAGTTTCTGTTATGCACGCGCCATTTAGGGTCAATTTTCGAGCGACGTACAAAAAGTTGACTTACAAACATCCATCACATCACATAACGAGCCAAGTGGCAATTTGACCACGAGACGTGGCATGGCTATCTGGAATCGGTAGGCTTATAAGACAGTTTTGTGGTCAGCTCAGGTGGGGTACGATTTGGCGGTCACAATATCTTCGTCCTCGTAAAAATGTCATGGCCATGGATTGTCGTCGGAATCGACAGGCTCGCAGCCATGACTAGCTGCAGGACAAGCGGCAAGGAGAAAAGCAAAATGTCTTCAGTGGCGCCGATGACATCAGGGGCCCTGGTACGAAACAGGAGGACCTTACCTTTAACAGGTTCGTGGCAGTGAGCGGGAGGTAAGATGATGAAATCACCCTCTGCCAAGCTATCTCCGAGGTAGTTCTGCACGGAATTGGTGACTGATAAAACAAGCGTAGCTTCAAATAAGCATGACGTCCGCCACCACAGAAAGGGCAATGCCAATGTTGGGCACGTTTTGCAGCCACCAAGCAACGAACATTTGAAAGCAAATGACAACTCCATTCGCGAGCGATAACAAACTAAACGGCAGCCAAAATATTGTGGAACCACTCGGATGTCATTTGCATTGCAACATTTCTTCGAAACGTATGTAAGTTTGATATCCGCTTTTCAGAAACGTGCTGCCGAAGTTATATGACTTTGTCCAACTGTTGTTCGCTAGTGTGCACAGACCTGTGCAGATACAGGGCTGAGAAGCCATCGTCCATACCGCATCGGAACACCTGCTGTTGCGCAGACATTTGTGTTTGACTCCGTGTTGTGTTGAAACATTACAAGATCTGCAATTTGCTTAGGATGGAACGTGAAATGCACCTCTTTGGAACGTCGAGAAGGCTGATGTCAGAAAGCCATCCCTGACAAGTTTGACTCGTCTGCTATTGTCCGTGGAAAGTCCCATTTTCTACCTGACTCGGGTGGTGAGCTAAAAAAAAAACATCAGCAATATATCGGTTGTTGGAGACCCAGCGTAGCTGCGACCCCGTTTATTGGAGCTTGTGTTCGGTATATTCAACTAGCGGAATTGAAACGAGCGGGGAAAGCCACGTCCGCCTGTCCAGTAGTTAGTAGAGGTAATTTTGAAATCGTATGAGCTGGAATAACCGGTGAATCGACTAAACCGAATGCAAATAAGAACCCGGCCGTCTTGTCAGCACTATCTCCGGAATCATAGGCACACAGGCGTTCTTGAAAGTTTTGGATTGCCATGCCGTCTTCGAAAACGATTGAGAGCAGCCGTTTGAGGTAGTTTTCGTTCCGTTCCATTTCCCATTAGGTTCGGCGGTATCGCTTTTACACTGTTAAGCAGTTCGACGCGATCTTTTACAGTGGGTGGTAGTAGGAGGTTTTGGAGTGGAGTGGGTAGCCTTTTTTGGGTGGTAGAAACCTTTATCAACGGGCAGCTACTTGGTCAATTATTGGTTGTAATTGCTCATTAGTGGACACCGAAAAAAATGAACAATGCGGTGCAAACAAAATTAAAAAGACCCTCTCCACAGGCCGTCCAGTTCTCAGGAAATTAAAAAGGCCAGGGATTTCTTTGGCAGATGTATATTCGGAGCTATTGATGACCTAAGGGTTCCGTCGGTCAAGATCCAATTTTGAAAGTTCTTTGGAGGCTAAGATGCTCTGAATAAACATTACAATACAGTAATTAGAATGCATAGGTCCTAACAAAATGGCAGCCAGCAGCCATGAAGGCTTAAGGGCCTCATTAGGCAGGGTATTCCGACAAACTCGGTAGTGACATTTTTACAGGATACCCTATAAGTTGAAGGTGCCCCCTCCCCAGGAGTCCCCTAGAGCTCAAAGAGACCATTTGGCGGCGGTGTTTGTAAGTCCAAGGAGAATAGCTTTGACATGGAGTTATAAAAGTTCAAGAGCCCCCTGATAGGACACACGCACGTTCAATAGATCTCTTTCGCAGGTGCCCTAAAAATATAAGTGGCCTCTGAGACAAGGAAGCTGAGAGGCAACAGACATCCCCTCTAACGGCTTCTAAAACAGTTTGCAGCCTTGAAGGCGCCTTGAAACAAGCGAACAGGAGGCGTTCTGATGATCCAAGTCTCTGTGAGTCACGCTCCATTTTGGTTAGAAAGCTCTGAAGAGCCAATGGCTGCCTTGAAAAGGGCCGCTTAACACGCAATCCGGGAGTCAAATTGACCCTACCGAAGATGTTTCCAAAGTGGTTTCTGAATAACACGGCCGCGCCACGTCATATTTTGTACAGTTGTAGACAATTGAATGGCGAATCGTTTGATACTAAAAATTTAGCTGTACCTTGTAAGGTCACTGACCTACGGCTGGTCCAAGTCAGGCCATGGAAATCGTTTAATCTGGTGCAACAACGGAGTGTTAGACGAGATCATACATCTTTGAGATACTTTCTTAGGCAGCGCAGCAATCGAATTAACAAGTTCCGTTGGCCTAAGGTTATTTCTGTAGGTCAGACGAAGGTCAAAGTCAGTCTGTTTTATTACTCCAGGGCTTGCTGTATTGGGAAGTTTTTGATGTTCATTTTGAATTTTTTGATAACAGAAACTGCATTATACATCCCCCATACATTTCTCAAAGATCGGAATAGGTCACTGACCTAAAATGACCCAGGTCAAAGCTTTGTTTTCTGGAACATGCTGCCTAGCGTAATCTTTGTCCCTTATTCAAACGCAAAACTCAAAGCAATCTTGTAGGATTTTGGTCGCCATGACCTTTGAAAAGTGGGACAGGGTCACTAACCTCAAATGATCATGTGGTCTTTTGCTTAGAAAAAATATTAAGCTTCTTGGGGAACTTTGGACACCAAACTGGAGATTGACCTTGTTTCACCCTATTTGACCCGAAGGTCATGGCTTAGGAACCTTACAATTTGATCTAAGTGACTTTACGTACAGGCCAACACACCCCGTGAATTCGGTGTCTCTAACTCTCTTAGTTCCTGAGATCCCAGGGGGTCAAATTGACCCCCCCGCCCGAGCGAAAGGTTACCAGCTGGCCACCCGGGCGCGTGTTTAAGATCCGAGAGGTTCCTTTGATTGTCCTCTTCGACACAATTCGAAGGAGTGCGATGGGTCACCTGTGACAAGGATTGCCATTCATTGACCACCCAGGAGACTCCTGGCGCCTTGGAGGCTCAAAGGCCCTTCTTTTACCACTTTTGACACTTTCATCCTTTTGAAACGCGTTGGGAAGACGGAGCATTTTGGTCCTTAGACATATGTGCGTCTCATTCAGAAGTATCAGACGCCCATTATGGTCCCTCCACCTAGCTCCGCCACTGGTGCCGGTGCGATCCGTTGATTGGTGGCCAAGGAACAGGCTGAGCGGAAAAGACCCCTGATGAGTTTTGTATGGGAAAATAATCCCGTGGCTGACGAAGTAAGTTCTAACATAACTCAAACTATTGCAGAGGTTTGTTCCAGTTCACAACGTTGACGTTTGGTCATGAGCTGCTATAGTTCAGAAGGTTCAGATGGCTTATGTGATCGGTGGATGACGTCGCGTGATATGACCGCTTTGGAAGGTTGAAATCCACCAGGATATCTATGAGATAACTGAAGCAGATTCTCATGACTGATTCTGAGCATTACGCGTATTCAAACTGTGTCTGTACCAAGATTTAACCGACATGATTCGTATCGGACGGGATGCAAAGGCCTGTGACTTGATGCTGATTCAAGTTGAGTCAGTGTGGTTTGGCTGGTAACAAGTTTCGAATTGGCTCCGATGATGAATACGGTAGAAACAAACGGATCCGAATCAAGTTGATGACCGAGACTTCTAGTGTCTATTGATTCTGCTGTCAATCTGAATCAGGTGGAGCGCGAGTCCACCCGGCTAGCCTCGCAGCTGCCGCCATCACTGATCAGTAGCCAGCTGCCGGTCGTGCGCCGGCGACACTCACGCCACCCCACGGTGACAGCGCGGCGACGTCGCGCGGTTAGCGGCGCGTCGCGGCGGGACCTTGCACCAGATAGCGACGCGCCCCGCGGCGCGAGGGCGCCGCGCCCGGCAGCGGCCATCCATCAGTGTCGGCGCCCGGTCGTCAGCACGGCGGCACGTCCCGCTGACGTCGGCCATCAGCCGCGGCGGCGGCGCGGCAGGCCGCCGTCCTGTGCTGGCCGCCGGCGGGCGATGACAGACGCCGACCCAGGCGCTGGCGGCCGGTCTTTCATATGTGGAAACCCTGTCTTTGATTGACTAAATGGCGTGTGCTTCGAGGCGTCTAGTCGCCGAATGTTAATTTTGGGGCTTTTTGCACTATTGAAGGAGGTCAGAAAATTCACATAATTGCATGCTTCACTTTCCATCGCTCTCAAAGCGGGCACCGGTTTCTCAGTGGACCCTTTCGAGTCAGCGGTAGAAGGTCTTTGTTGGTCGGGTTACAGTTTGTTGACGGTGCTCCGGTTTCAGCGGCCGTTTCCTGGTCCGGAGCAGTCTGCTGTCGGGAGGCGCTGGTGCCTCGCTGCGTCGCCACGTGCAAGCGCGCCGCTTCTGCCGCCGACCTGCGCCGCTCAGGCCACTGCCGGCCCTCGCACGAGGCAGAGCTATTCCGCTGCCTCAGCGACCGCAAGGTCGGTTTCCACTTTTGTGTTCCAGTTTCACGGAGTTCGACGACCCTATCGACGTTTTGAATATGACTACGGGTTGTCGTCCCCGATGGAGCAAGCCTGTCGTTTGTCTCAGGTTAGCGTTTTCGTTCAGGACGCCCAGTGCGTCACTCTCCCAGATAGAAACGCATTCCTGCTAGCCTCAGGCCTCTGACCAGCTGCAAGGTCTGCGCACCACCCGCAGCCCGACTTATGATCCCGTGGTCAGGTCGTGTTGTCACTGGTGCTTCACCACATAGCCCCAGTTGCTGAGGCTATACGGCGTCGCCTGCCTTTCACCCTGGCAGGAAGGGAGGGCACCTCGGGGAATCAAACCCCGTACCTCTGGTTTCCCTGACGCCCAGTGGTTAACGCAGACGCATTAACCACCACGCCACGAGCACCCCTTTTGGTCAGGTTGGTGTCGCAGCACCAACTTACTCCTCCCAGATTCGCTTTTGACTTCTTCGTGATCCATCTCCGTTCGGGACGAACGTGAGGCGGCTGAAGTTCAATGATCATTGAATGTTACGTGGCACACAGACTGTTCGCGAGCCCTGAATTCCAAAAGCAGCTCGTGATGTAGAGCAACCGCGATGCGGCAGGTGTTTTAAACCCTTTATCTTGGCAGGGTGATGGGGACTTTCTTCAGGCATGGGGATGAATAATTTTGATTATCACAAGGGCATGCCCTCTGCGTGTGTCCCTTATCCAAAATCATACTGTTACTGTACCCCTGTCGTCGGCGCATCCGTGCACCCAATGCTCTGCGCATCCGCGGCCCAGGGCAATGAAAAATAGCTGACTGAACGCTCGTCTTTGAACGAAGCAGCTGTTGTGCTGTGCCAGTGGTGCTCTCTTCCGCTGCAGTCGTCGGCCATTGGCAGTGGCCTCAATGTGTGGGCCCCTGTTGGCCTGACCTCAGTGTCCCGGACTCGGCGCAGGGCTGCGCCCAGCATCCGACGATGTATGACCAGATACACTTCCGTGGCGAGTTGGCCGGCGCTGGTGTGTTTACGCCGCGGTAGTGTGTTTATTGGTACTGCCCTGGCTGAATACAGGGCGGACACTTCTGTTTTCAGCGGGCTAAGGGCAGCAACGGGGACGGACTAGGTGAAGACGAGGACTTATCTAAAGGTGGGTGAACTGTCAGTGGCCCCCGTCCCTTTTCTTTGTCTTGATCAAATTGTAACCACCTTGTGCTTACTCTGTCGTGTGTATAGATGGATTACAACCGCTTGTGAGCCTGTACCTGGCGCACAAACTTAGCGTTGCTTCAAGGCGCTCAAGGTACCAGTCGATGCCAAGCGATGCCCGATACCACATCAGTCGCAGTTAGCTGTCCCTCCCGCCCGCCATTGGGGGTCCAGAGCCTGGACCTTCTGAGGTCTGGACTCGAGACCTCAGAAGGCCGGGGTGTGGGGTAACCTCCAGCCACACGCTCTGACCGCCGCGGCCGCGCCGTGCTGGCAGCGAAGCAGTGCTGCGCCGCCGCCGAGACCGCGCCGTGCCGCGCCGTCTGCGCAGAGTCGGAGGCGGCGTCGGCCGTCGGCCGGCCCGGGCCGTCCCAGCGCCTGCAGGGGAGCGCCTGCAGCAAGGTCAGAGGCCACCGCGCGCCAGCACCCCGCGTACTCTGGCGGCCGGGACAGCGCAGTCCGCCGCTGACTCCAGGCCACTGGTGGAAACGCTTGCCGATCCCCGCTGCCGTCCGCAGCAGGCGTTCGCTGTGCTCCTGGCGTTGGTGCGGGCGAGGCAGTGGGCTCGCTAAGACTGGCTCTCCTCACGCCTGGGTGACTGTATTGTGTATGTATATACGACGTCTGGGCGACCTTTAGTTAAATATTTGCTCGTGGTGGGCGATTTTGTGACCGGTGACGGGGTTCATCCAGCCGTTTTATCGGCCATACGAGAAGTAGCGATGTACACGCAAATTAAGAACTCCTATTTTAATTAGATCAGACTACATTGACATCGTGAGTTCAGGGTTGGTGTGCCGAGTTAGCGTCTTTCAATATACCAGGCGGTTTAAAGTTCAGAACATTTTAGAACAAACGGTAGCTACATGAACAGCATTTGACGTTTCAAGCTGTGTTTCATGGTCACAAATGATCATAAACACAGCTTGAAACGTCCAGAATTGAGATCTGTATATATATATATATATATATATATATATATATATATATATATATCAATTAGACCATGACAATCCTAGAAAGCCGTTTAACAAGACCTCTTGGTAAAGCGGGATCAAACAACAAGGGGTCAAAAACTCAACATAAGAACTCGAAGCTTTTTCTGCCAAAAACAAAGAGCTGAAGGGCTTGCTTAACTGTGTCAAGCTACATTAGCCTTACTTGAAGCGGAATATCACTGAACTGAGTTCTTCAAAGCGCGGCTCTAATGGGCTCCAAGATAACTCTCGAGTATGCACTGTGCTTCAGATTATCGCAGTGTAAACATTTAGGCAACGCAATCTAGGAAATCTTGTAATCTGGAAGAGCATTCGAGTAGCGTATATCACTAGATAACTGCATGCGAGCTTTTACGTATTGCATCCTCTGTTTGCATTACACAAATGTGACGAACATCTGGACACTGTCAATCAGCAGGGGCAATCACTGACTGGTAAGCTACGTTAGGGGAAAAATCCAACAAAGCATTTATGCTGTAGTCGCAATAAGAATAGGCCCTGGAGCGGTACCTGATATCAACAGCTTGCTGGGCGCGTCTGAAGCACATGACACTGCTTCCAGAGGCATGCTCACATGATGTCTCACGTGTTTTTATTGGTGCCGCCTGAGTCAAAATAACGATAAAAAATGTGATTAACGGCAACGCATCACCATTGTTTACTGATGTTTCTGCCGTGTTCTGGCGCTGATCAGAAGTGGAAAGTCAAACAGTTGTTAGCTCGCTGCTCCCACATGAAATCGTTTACACTGTGGGCGAGATGAAAAAGGTCCGCGTCAACGTTGCAGCCAAAAGCGATGTGTTCCACGCGTGCAGCACGCTCATCAGAACGGTTCCACGACATTGGTGCTATAACAAAAACTCCCACCCACAAAAATGCTCCATCACCCTCACTGGCAGTACTTAAACACGGCATTACTTCCGCTGGAAAGGATGCTGTACGACATTTGAGTGCCAAACGGGAAAAGACTGCTCAAAAATGTATACCAGCCGCAGCTTTTGCTGTAACTTATATGGTCTGCAAGCAGACGCAGCATTCTTTTTTCCGTCAATGCCAAGCCGTCAAGTGCAAAATGCGTGAACACGTAACATGGCTGTAGGACCAATTAGCAGATTAGAAGGGAACCCTAACTCGGTACTTCTGTGGTTTATATCTCTTGGTGCCGATACGGTGAATCCCTAACTCACTTAGTTGCGTTGTTTTGTTTTTTTGTCATGCTTGGCGTAAGATCGAATGCTATAGATTTGGTAGCGCAGTCCCAATGACGGGTTCAGTTTATGGCACTATCAGTTTTGCGGTGCAGACATGTGGTACTAGCACTGTGCATAAGTAATTGTAGTTTATGTTTTGCTATTTTTAAGTGAAAATAACGCCAAGGATTCAGTCTCATATTCCTTCGGGGACCCTGTCTACCCCTCACTGGGGATATGAAGGTGTGTTACATTATGAGCAAACGTCCTGCTTTATGTACTTGGGACAGGGTTGGTCGTTTTTACCCCGCTTAGGCCTTAAACTTGTCTTTCTCCACAACGACACTGCATTATACGCTGTTTGTTTAGTAGGAAAATACTGCATACAACTTTTTCCGTTATAGGTCCGTCGATTGCAATAATTGCAGTATCAATGGTGTATCGACAACATTCAGTGAGCACTGATTTCGGCATCCAAGTGTTTCCATGATTTTACTCCTTCCTGGGTTTTGGAGGGGGTTAACCTATGAGTGAAAGTATAGACAGGTATAATTTCTGACGCAGTGTATTGCACAGCACGAAAAATGTGTACGAGCATTGGCAGTTTCAGCAATATCACTCAAAGGCTAAGACGACAAGCTTTTCCAACTGACGTGATGACGGTATAAGCCTTTAGGTGTAAGTTTTGCATGACTTTTAAGCTTTGTCGTTTAGAACCACTGTCGTATGACACTGTTTCAAGCAAGGTAATGTTACGTCTAAGTAGTGACTGCATAAGTTTGTGTTGCGGAAGCAATGATTGGCATATGTTTTTGAAGTGTAAGTTTTGTGGTGTAACCACCGTACACTAATGCTGTGCATAAGTTTTTGCAATAAAATCGTCGCGTCTTAAGTGCCGCGTATAAATTGTCGCGCATATCGCGAAAACTCTTGGTAACTGAAGAGAAGTCGCGTACAGATAATTGCCATATGAGCTTTCGGAGAAGAAATAATAGCGGGTATGGATTTTTGAAGCATAAGTTTTGACGCGTAGCTCTTTATGAATACATATGGGCAGTAGAAGTATGTTGCAAATGAGTAAAGTCTGAAGACATTTTTACGATTGATATAATGTCGCGAAGAGGCAACGCCGAAGGAGGTTTTGCAGAAGAGGTAATGCCGCGTAGAACTAATGCTGTAGCACCCCTGCCGGTAGGAACTTTTGCCTTACCACTAATATTGCGACAGCTATCCGAACCCAATGTTCAGACGACGCATGTCATGTAGGTATCCCTACCAGTTTGCTAGATGCTAAAGTGTCCCCGTCACCTTCGACCTTCGACCTTCGATCATCCACAGCCATCGAGCCAACCAGTGTGTACATACGTGCCTCGAAGAGCCTCAATCTGCCCTGGCTGTCCTGGCCCTCACAGATCGTTATCCATCCGACTGCGGCCGGCCTCCTCCCCGCAGGATAAAGCGTTCCGATCGTGCGTGGGCGTTGAGCCGCCGGCGCCGGCGCGGCCGCTCTACCGGCTGGAGCTGCTCTGCTGCTCCCTGGCGGACACGGCCCCGTGCCGCCGACTCTGCAGAGACGCCTACAGCCTCGGCTGGCACCTGCAGGGACCGAGCTTCGAGCTCGAGTGCCTCAGCAGCGAATACGGCGAGCCTCGCCTACGCCGCTGCGTCAGAGACGGTACGCTGCTGGCGTTGGTCTGGACGAGACTGGGCTGCGGGTGTGAAAACCCCGTGTGCGAGGTGTCAGAGGTAAGAGGTTGTGGTCACGGCGCTGAAGTGGACTGGCGTAAGGATCCCTTCTCAGGCCCGCTTCGTCATACGGTAGGTGGACCATTCCTGTCCGGAGGGCATTGGGAAGTGTGCGTCGATGTTACCATTGGAACACATAGGTAACCCGGCAATCCCTCCTAGCGGTATGCATGCCTTCGCGGCTGCCACCTCTTCCCTTATCGTTCTGAGAACTCTGTGATTTTTGTTTGTCCGTATCAATGTCTGGCATGCTTTGTTTGACTGGTAGCGAGCACTCGTGCATATCTACCTTCGTTCGCACCCGCATCACTCAGCCGCTACAACTCATGCAAATCTCCCGAGCATGCACTGTACGTCTTAGACGGCTTGTTCTCCGCAGCGGAGGTGCCCTGCCAGCCCAACTCGGGCCGACTACGTTTCTGTCGCGACTTCACGGCCAGCAGCACGGGCCTGTACCGTCATTGGGACCAGGAGTCCGACGACAAAGCCAAAATGCAGTACATTGAGTGGATGCGGTCGGGAAAATTTGGTGAGATGTAGCTGTACGAGACAGTGGCGACATGGTGGCGATTACATGTACTCTCCTCTCCTCCGTGTGCCGCTCAGCCAATCGCAGCTCGGACTGAGCCGTTCTCTCAGGCCGTCACACAAGTTAATTTCACGGGATACCCACCTTCCCCGCGTTATTGCCACTGAGCTTGCGTCCCAGGATGTTCCCTCTCCCCCGTCGCTGCCACCGAGCTCGTGTCCCGGGATGCCCACCCTCCCCGTCTCTGCCGCCGAGCTGGCGTCGCGTGGTACCCACCCTCCCCGTCCCTGCCGCCGAGCTCGCGTCGCGTCGTCATCACTGACCACCACCAGACGAGTCCGGTCTGCTGTGACCGACCTCTGCGCTGCCGGCGTCCCTCAGGCGTGCCGTTCCGGAACCTGTCCATCGTGACGACGGGCCAGTGTCGGGCGGAGCTGCGGCGGCTGGCCTGCTTCCTGCAGCTGCAGCCGTGCCGGGCGGAGGACCATTCGGTGGGCGACGTCTGCAGGTGAGCTGGACGGCCGACCGTCGGCGCTGGGGTCACCGGTCGGCCCCTCTTCGGCCAGCGACGCGCTGCAGCTCCCCGGAGCACTGCTGGCGGCTGTCTGGTGATGTCCCGGAGCACTGCTGGCGGCTGTCTGATGATGTCCCGGAGCACTGCTGGCTGTCTGGTCTGATGATGTCCCGGAGCACTGCTGGCGGCTGTCTGATGATGTCCCGGAGCACTGCTGGCGGCTGTCTGATGATGTCCCGGAGCACTTCTGGCGGCTGTCTGATGATGTCCCGGAGCACTGCTGGCTGTCCGGTCTGGTGATGCCCCGGAGTACTGCTGCTGGCTGTCTGGTCTGGTGACTCCCCGGAGCACTGCTGGCGGCTGTCTGGTCTGGTGACTCCCCGGAGCACTGCTGGCGGCTGTCTGGTCTGGTGACTCCCCGGAGCACTGCTGGCGGCTGTCTGGTCTGGTGACTCCCCGGAGCACTGCTGCTGGCTGTCTGGTCTGGTGACTCCCCGGAGCACTGCTGCTGGCTGTCTGGTCTGGTGACTCCGCGGAGCACTGCTTCTTGCTGTCTGGTCTGGTGACTCCCCGGAGCACTGCTGGCGGCTGTCTGATGATGTCCGGAAGCACTGCTGGCTATCTGATCTGGTGATGCCTCGGAGCACTGCTGCTGGCTGTCTGGTCTGGTGAATCCCCGGAGCACTGCTGGCGGCTGTCTGGTCTGGTGACTGTGGAATGCTGCAGGCCTGGCAGGCTGTGCTGCAGTGGAGACATTTTCGATAGCGTGGTACCCGTTGGTGAAAAAAACCGTGTTTTTCTTCTGCCTTTAGACGACTCCACCACCCATATGGGAAGGGAGCGCGGAGTTTCGAATAGTACAATGAATATCTCATAATATAACTGTGCTGATGTTTTATCTGGCCCTAAACCAGTGTCGAGCAGCGTGATCCCGTGGCGCACTTTGTACGTTTCGGCATATAATTTGCATCATTATCTCCTGATTATGTCAAGTCCGAGGTGTCCACCCCCGGCATGACTTCAGGTCGGACTGTATGCGCCTGTCGGAGCGCTGCCTGACGCCATCCAGTGGCGGCGTGGTGGACATTGCCGCCTTCTGTTCGCTTATGGCCCAACCGGACCCTGACTGCGTCCGCATGCCACCGCCAGAGGCGCTCTCGTCGGTACACTACCAGGTGAGTGCCCTGTTGACCCGGACTGTGTGTGTATGCTATGATGTGGCTTCAAGTGCAACATAGCAAACAGGTGCCATGTGATAAAACAGCCATTTTTGGGAGGCTTTTGAGCGACACATAACATATTTGAACATGGTGTTTTCGGGTATTTAGGGGTCGTATGTCTGCTTTAAAAAAGTTCAACACATGTCGCTGCTGTCGCAAGCAAAGTGGAACAAAAGACTGGCTGCGATAATTTCGCCGTGTATTCCGGCCAAAATATTGATGGTACCTCACCGAGGTGTGCCGTGTGTGATGCGCTACTATTCCTGCAGACCAGCAGTCCGTGTCTGCCGTCGCCGTGCGGACCCGGCGAGGTTTGCAGGGTCGGCCACCAGAACCAATCCAGGCGTGTCTGCCGACCAGGTGCGGCTTCAGGCCACTGGAGGGCCGCATAGGCTCGCAATAGCTTCATATTCACCGGTCTTTGACTGCCTCGTAGTCAACAGCACGCAGCTAAGTCGCCATGAGTCTTTGCGGAAGAAACCAAAAATAATCATGCTGAGAGCATAGTACCTTCCAGTTGCTTTGCTGAAATTTTCCGTTACGAAATACCGTTTTGATTCGTGATGAATGCAGTGATTTAAATACAAAGGCACACAAAAAATCGAAGCAAAGAGCGTAATAGTCTTCATGTTCTGGTAACCTGTGGAAGATCAGCATTTGAAATAGCTACTCCATCGGAATACACTCAGATCAGATGACATGTTTCAATTTCACACAGGCTGTCGGCTGAGTTCTGTCACCGACCGGATGGCGCCTGTCGGATCTGCCGTGCTCTTGCCATCTGTCGGGGAAAGCAACAAGCTCTCGCTGCTCATGTGCACACCAGGGGGAGAGCTGGTGAAGTGCAGAAGCATTACAATACCGCGGAGCCTCTCGTGTATTTCACTCGGGAGGCAAATCAGTAAGTATTCGAACGTGGAGGCCACACCTCTTTGCAACCCAGCCCGGAAATGCTGTCCTGGTTCATGCGATGCTAGCAGAAATCCCGATAGACGCTATGTTTGGGTAGACCGTCAGCCTCTGCGAGTTGTGTGACAGTGTGCGCAGTATGCTAAGCACAGTACGTCATCGTCCTACCGGACCTATCTGAACGCCCGGTGGCCCCCTGGCCACTCTACAAACACAGCTCCGCTCTTAAAATATGGCATCAGATGTACGCCTGCGGCGGCGTCAGACCTGCTTGCTCCGGTTCCACCATGACGGGTCGGTGGTCTAGTTGTTCCAGGGCGCCGCTGACCCCGGCGGGCTGACCCCGGCTGGCTAACCCGCTGACCCCGGCCGCTGACCCTGGTGGAATGACCCCGACTGGCCGACCCCGGCCGGCTGACTCGCTGACCCCGGCGGGCTGACCCCAGCGGGCTGACCCCAGCTGGTGATCCGCTGACCCGGCGGGCTAACCCGCTGACCCCGGCCGCTTACCCTGGTGGACTGACCCCGGCTGGCCGACCCCGGCCGGCTGACCCGCTGACACTGGCCGGCTGACCCGGCAGGCTCCGGGACCGTGGAGCAGCACGGCTGCCAGAGCTGCGTGTGCGTGGACGGCGAGCTCGTGTGTCGAACGGCCGCCGAGTGCGCCAAAGCCGTGCGGCCCCTCGCGCGCCGCTCCGGGCCGCGTGTGCCCACCTGTCTGCGGCTGCAGAACCACAGGTCAGCTGGCAGCTCCCGTCAGTGGGTCATCACCTTTCAGGTCTACGGTGCGCACGCTTTCAACACGCAGAGTAGGAATGGCATTAGCCGCGCTCTCTCGTTAAGCACGCTTGAACTGCCGCTTGTTCTTATGGTAGTCTGAACCAGAGCTTTTTTCCGAGCTGCGGCGGTCCATACCAGAACTTTTGTACGGATTAAAGTTGGAAAGCTTCCGGTGATTGCAAAAACATGCCTAGCGTACATCCTGCGGTGGTTTCACAGATGCTCCAAGCCGCTGCTGCGGTATGACCCGTGCGAGGTACATCCATGCCAGAGCGGGTACCGGTGCGAGCCGCATCCGGAGCTCTGCGTGGACAGCCTCCAGCCATGCGCCGAGCACACCTGCGGTGAGGCGGCTCGCTGGCGGTAGTACTGTGCCCGCCCCTGGCCCGCCCGCTGACTGTAGCACTGTGCCCTCCTCTGGTCCACTCGCTGGCGGTAGTACTGTGTCCGCCCCTGGCCCGCCCGCTGACGGTAGCACTGTGCCCTCCTCTGGCCCGCCCGCTGACTGTAGCACTGTGTCCGTCCCTGGCCCGCCCGCTGACGGTAGCACTGTGCCCTCCTCTGGCCCGCCCGCTGACGGTAGCACTGTGCCCTCCTCTGGCCCGCCCGCTGACGGTAGCACTGTGCCCTCCTCTGGCCCGCCCGCTGACGGTAGCACTGTGCCCTCCTCTGGCCCGCCCGCTGACGGTAGCACTGTGCCCTCCTCTGGCCCACTCGCTGGCGCTAGCACTGTGCCCGCCTCTGGCCCACTCGCTGGCGGTGGTGCTTCGCCCGCCTCTGGCCCGCTCGCTGGCGGTGGTGCTGTGCCCTCCCCTGGTCCACTCGCTGGCGCTAGCACTGTGCCCGCCTCTGGCCCACTCGCTGGCGGTGGTGCTTCGCCCGCCTCTGGCCCGCTCGCTGGCGGTGGTGCTGTGCCCGCGTCTGGTCCACTCGCTGGCGCTAGCACTGTACCCTCCTCTGGCCCACTCGCTGGCGGTGGTGCTGTGCCCGCTTCTGGCCCGCTCGCTGGCGGTAGTGCTGTGCCCGCCTCTTGTCCATTCGCCAGCGTGCCCGGCTGGCGTCGCATCCACCGGCTTCGCTGATGAAGATATGACTCAAGGATTCGCGATGGGCCAATCATAATAGATGGTTTACTGTGTGTTAATTTATGCAATGTTTTAGCACACAATATATTGATGTTGTTATGGTAACTGTAGTATTTGTCCGATGTTTTTTTGCGTAATGTATTGATATCACTGTAATCATGCACAGCAATTGTTCCAATCCACAGCCTTACCAAAGACTCTCGACTTAAGATCTCTTCAACATAGCTTGCCGGCATCTGCCGTGCAGGCCTTGGATTTTATGACACTCGCTGACAAATGGGCAGCTGGCAGCTGGTCGCTTATGCATTGTGTGACGAGGCGCCGTGCTTCAGTGCCGGAGACATCGGATGCCATAGCTGACGCTGTATCAGCGTGCGAGCAATCCGTGGCCCCACTGAATTCCGTCGAGGAAAGTACATGGCGCCAACCCTACGTGGTAAGAACGAATAGCTGTTGATGATATCTGCAAGCTGTACACGATTCAAGTAGCCTCGCACTGATGATGCTACCTGTGTTCGAAAACAGATGTCCATTTTCCCGCAGCGAGACGTGGAATATTGTCATGAACACAACAGCTTCGTAATAAACGCTTTAGCCTCCATGGCAACCTGAAGCATGCGATGCAGTACTGAGCGGCACTGCCCGAAGCGGCACTTTAGTCTCCTTTCCTCTCCGCCCGGCAGGCTTGCCCGGTGGCTGCGGACAGGTGTGAAGTCCCCGGCGCCCACTGCACTACCTCACCCGACTGCCAATCGCTAAACGCCAACTGCAGTCACGCGGCGCCGCCCTGCGGCCGCTCGCTGAGGCTGTATTTCAGCGGCCGCCGCTTGGCGGCGCTGGGCGCGCGGCTGCCGGCGCGGGCAGCGCTGGCGCTGCGCCACCTAGTGGGCACGATGGAGTGTGTGCTGACCGGTCGGCTGGAAGCGCCACGCCAGCTGATAGTGACGGTGACGCCAGAGCGCGCGGCGGCGGCGCGCGCCTGCCACCTCGAGGCCGACAAACTGCGCGCGTGGCTGGCGTCCGGCAGCCCAGTGGCGGCCGCCGAGCCCAGCCTATGGCCTGTGATGCACGCCGAGCTGGCACCGGAGCCAGGCCGAGGGCGGGCTCCGGCCGGGGCGCCGCGGAGCCTGCTGCTCCTGTGCCTCACCGTGGGAGCCGTGCGGATCCTGTGATACAAATGTAGCCCGATGGAATGCTATTTATTCAATACAAGTGTTTGTAGACGTTTCTCGGTTACAGCCGGTCACAGATGAGCTTCTGATGAGGGGCCTTCTGATGATAAACTCGGTTGGTGAGAACATCTCCTCATCATAGTAGCTTCTTCCATTCTATAGAGCTTTGCGGTTGGTGTGCCAGGCTTCACCACCACCTAGGCTGTCACTCTCATACCCTAGGTTGGCCCAAGGCCCCATAAATGGAACATTTATAGCATAAAGTAAGCAAAGACATCTGCCGAAGGGCGTGCTCAAGAGCATCGCAATTTATGTTTGACTCTCCTCCTGTTCCTTTTTGTTGTTCATTGGAGTTTTCGGGCGCGTCGACTGCGGTGGTCATTTTGCGCCCATAACTATGCTGTTACTTAATTAGTACGGTGTGAAAATGACTTGAAAATCAATATCTTTTAAAAACGAAAAGAGCTGTTTGGGATCAAGAAAGGAGGAACTGTCACCAAGCACATCGTTAATCGTCAGGGTCGAAGACTGTGAACCAAAGTGACGTCGTCGTTCTTCGATGAGGCATGGACATGATATAATGACATGATGGACATTCAGGACGGCACCACACCGCTGGCATACAGGTCTGTCGGCTCCATGCAACAGATGGCCACGGGTGGCATAAGTAAGCCCAATGCGCAGCCTGCATAAAACCACCTCTTCCCACCGCACACCGCGAGACCATGACGACCACAAGCCCAACTCTGTCTTTATTGCCCTGAGCTTATTGCCCCCCACCTGGTCCCAACAACGCTGCAATTTGCTTCTCAGGAAGGTCTTGACTGCCGGGTAAAAATCTCTGGCAGGGATAGGCAAAAACCGGGTATATGGTGCTACCGCTGCTCGCTTAGCAGCGGCATCAGCCAGTTCGTTGCCCACGATACCGACGTGACTAGGGATCCAGCACATCGCAGCTCTCTTTCCAACCCGATCCAATTGTGTCAGGCGTGATAAAATGTCCTGTAAAAGGGGACGTGATGGATAAAGAGACTTCAGTGCAGAAAGACTGCTCAGTGAATCTGTAAAAATGGCGTGTGAAGATTCTTCACCCACTTCTATGAAACATATCGCCTTGGTGATTGCAACTAATTCCGCTGTAAAAACTGACGAGTGGGCCGGTAACGAGAACGTTCGAGTGACGGAACCGCTAATGAAAGCACAACCCACGCCATCCGAGGTTTTGGATCCGTCTGTGTATGTCAGGGTACATCCTTTGTAACGCCAAAAGCTCAACTGCCCTGGATCTCAATAGGTGTGGTGTGACGTCTTTTTTTCTAATTTCCGTAAGCGAGGTGTCAATGAAGGGTGTAGTCATTTGCCAAGGAGGAGAAGCCAGGTGGCTTACTTGCCTCACACTCCGAACAGGAATTCCGCTCTCAAACAATAACGCTCTCATTCGGGAACCAAAAGTTAAAGCGTGCTGCTGCGGCCCGTGACGAAGAGAACTTACCGCACACCGCGAAAATATTGCAGAATATGTCGGGTGAAGTGGGAACTGCCGCAGCTCTCCTCCTGTTCCCCCTCACACCAAATGACTTAGACCCTGACGACTATGCTAACAGTAACCCAATGCGAATCGTTACTCTCCTACTTTGTGTTTTTTAGGAAAGTCACGAAAATTACAAAAAAGTACACATCGTCGATGTATTTAGACCACCAACCGTGCTCATGTGCAGGACACACGATCACCCACGGCGTTTCCGAAGACATCAAAACACTGAAAAACACCGGTGCAATACACTTCACACCGCTCCCGCTTCGAAAACGTCCTGTTCGCCAACATATCTGGAGCAGTGCCTACCACGACTACACAAGAGAGCCGAGAGTCGGCTACGTCCTTCGCCAGAAGTAGTCCTTGGTACGGCCGTGGTTGAGGAAGCGATACAGGTACTTTATCCTTTTCTGCATGTTGTAGTTCTTGGTGGGGTAGTGGTCCTCCAGAAGGGAGCCCATCACCTTCCGCTTGCGCAGCAGCATCTGGTACTCGTTGCCGCGGAAACCGCGCAGCCAAGGCGGCACCTTGTACAGCAGCTGCACCGGATGGAGCGAACCGTTGCCGAGGATGTCTGAGGCACGGGAGAGGACGAACCGGTCAGGCCATGGGTCGTGCGTAAGCGAAGCTGTCGCCACGCGGAACATCGAACGACTCCGCATGGCTAAGAAATACTACGCTCCTCGACATGGCGCGTGGTCATCTTCTATCTCATTTCTGGCTTCTTTTAACTCATGCTAAGCGCCGGGATAGTGACAGTCACAAAACATCGTACAGCAATGCCGATACCTTCGTCTGGTTTTACGTGGCGTACCATTGGAAATGCTTGCAACAGACGCAATGCTGCTGTCAAACTCATGCACTGCTAGGCAACTCAATTTATCATTTCGTCCCAGTCTTACTAAGATTTAAGCCGGCTTACCGATGTAGTCGTTCTGACCAAAAAGTGCCTTCTTCGGTGACCATGCATTGCTTGGTTTGTACTGGGGAAAACCGAGCGGTCTGGCGCCTTCCTTCCTTGGCAGTAGCCCTAGAAAGTACCGAGGCTTGACGCTCAAATCTTTGAAGAACAATGCCAGGCCAACGACAAACATCGTCTGACAAAACATACACACTGAACAAGTTGCATCAGCAATTTGATGGAACACTTAAAAGGGATGGCAGCCAGGTCAAAGACCCTACCACGCATGCATTGCTGTGACTGACCCGCATCGCCATGCGAGTACTTTAGTTAGGAGAGCGCGGGACAGGCAAGTCCCATACATCCCAAACATGTGGATTTACTTCCCACAAGCTGTGCTGATGTGCTGATGCTGTCAATAAAGATGCATTGGGAACTGACCTGGACACAGCCGGAGAGAGTATTTACCCGACATTAGACAGGATGTAACGCCCATCGGCTAAGATGCTGGCTGCTCTGCCGCACTACCCACCAGATGGCATGATGTGCTCCTTGTTCCAGCCATAGCGACGGAGCGCGGGTCCGCGTGCCACTTTGTTGGCGTGCCAGCGGAACCGCACAGGGGTCACAGTGACTGTGGCGGCCCGCAGGACGGCGGACAGCCGCGGCCCGACCCCGCCCAGCATTGTCAGACGGCCGAGCACCCTGCAACGGAGATCAGCTGTACTGACACAATGCATCAGACAGCCGCGGCCCCACCTCGCCCACCATTGTCAGACGGCCGAGCACTCTGCAACGGAGATCAGCTGTACTGACACAATGCATCAGACGGCCGCGGCCACACCCCGCCCAGCATTGTCAGACAGTCCAGCACCTTGCGACAGAGATCGGCTGTACTAACACAGTGCACTATCCCTTGTTATAGATTGTTTGGGGACAGGTGAAATGTCCTAGGGTGGACGCAAGTAAAATGCGACAGGCACTCTACTGACACACAGCACCACTCCCTGTCACACATTGCTTGAGAACAGGTGAAATGTCCTGAGGTGGACACAAATAAGGTGCAACAACCACTTTCAAAGTACGCAGCATTGCCATGTTTGTAAACAAGGCTCCACTCTGAAGCATGCAGTGCAGAACACTCGGTAACAAACTGTGCATCACTGAGGACAAGTTTTGGCAGCACCAATATCTTAGTAATAAAGGCTAAAGCATGACCTCCAAAGCTCATATTTCTGTATTTTCCAGCACATGAGTGTTGGATATCTGGCCACGCTGGGGCGAGATTGGTAATAACCAGTTTTAGCTTCACAAGAACGGCATAGCACGATTAACACGATACCACGACATAAGACTGGGGTAAATAAACCCATTCCTATTCCCATCTTTTCACTGAGCCTAATATATACACAATAATGAACAAGTCTGGCATCAGCAAATTTTCCTTTGATCGAAAAGATAATCGTCAGAACCACAAAGCAATGAAAATACAAAAGATGAACTTATAAGCACGTTAACTCCTCAGTCCCATCTATTCCAGCTTCAGCATTAGGCTGCAAACTGCAAATTTCATGCATATGTTTCTGCTAATGGTCATGCTAGATATCTGGAAAACATCCTTGGGAAGTTAACATTGTGTTATAGCTAGGGAAGTGTCCCACTGTATTAAGCACAGCATTTATACTACATTGGGAGGGTGTAAATGACCCACAAAATCCGTTCAGAACCCCATGTTCCGAGCCTCTGGCTTCGATTGACACCAAACCTTCCCCACTGGATACCCCTTGGTCGATCACCGATCGTTTCTAGAAGATGGCGACCTAGGGCCTGGTCAAAAGTCACAGAAAGCAAAAACTGACAGCACTAGATGCAGACCCCATACACCTAGCCTGGCAGGCCGATCGGCATAAAACCTGCACCGATTTATACACCTTGGTCGAAAAGCTGCACTTCTCAGGAGACCAGAAACAGTCGAGGAAAAGGTCACCAAAACATTTTAAACCAGCAAATTTGGATGCAGACCAGCCCATGCCCTGAGGTTCTGGGCTTTATCTGTCAAAAACATTTGCCAACCAGCTAGCCATGGCCACTGGCCCATCCTCTCCAGAACACAGTGATCTTGAGTCAGGTCGCAGGCTGCCAAAAACGCCTGAGACAGCTAAAAACTTCTGAAGCTTGTGCGATGTTTTTGCAGACAACCCTATACCCTGAGGCTAAGGCCTTGATAAAAAGCAAACTTT